CATTCCATCCTTCAAATCGTTTTCTTTCCCAATTCCTGGTCCCCATCGACTGCTTTCCCATTCACGCAAATACCCACCTCTATCCTACACACACGCTCCATGTTCCTTTGGCTTTATCGCCGCGATGTGAAACCTGGAACGCCTTGCAGCCTAATGGATACCTCTCAGAACCCGGCAGGACGCCAAATTGCACGGACGATCCTACGAAGAGTGTGAGACTTAACCGTAATCAAGACGAATGTACCCGCTTTATCCCCCTTCCATATCTTCACGAACTCACCAAAACGCATTCCATGGTGTTCAACAACGTATCACGAGCTTCCATTCCTACAAGATTACAGGATTCTATACTGCATGAGCTGCCCACTAATTTCATCGCTCACAGCATAGTTTCGGACCCACTAACCGAGAAAATTGAAGAGGGATATTCTACTCTTCCCCTTCAGTTTCTTGAAAAGGATTGATAGAATTCTTTCCCGGTCCCTCTTCTCCTCCATCCCGTCTGTTATTGCATTCCATTCAATTCCCATTCATCAGGGAAAGTGATCCTCTGACTGTCATCAGCAGTCATCCTGGCATAACAGGAAGTTGTTATTCGCGAGCTTCCGATGGGCCTCTTTAGCCAGAACAGGCCCGAATGCTACATAAGCGCAAAATGTCCACCCTTGAGTCCCCTCGTTCCTCACAAAGTGATTACAGAGCAAGATATATTTGGAAGAAGGCAAGACGCGGATTTTTTACTCTTCAAATGTGACTAATGTGGTTTAATAGAGACTGCTTCCACGCTCAGCTTACCATATCTTCGGCACACTGATTTTCACATTCCAGAGACTATCACCTGATCTGTTATTGAGACAAACCTCAAAGGTCTGACGGGACACACCGGAAAGCCGATTGGGTCTGTATATTATTAGGCTCGACATGAAGAGATGAGATCGAAATCTTATCTCGACGACATTATTAGACGGTCTTCACTACGGACGAAGGGCTATAGTGCTAAACGCTGTGGGTAACATTTGGTGACTCGAGAACTATGGGCCTGTCGATCAGGGCAGTATTCGACGAGGAATAACAGAAAATAGACGACGGGAACAAGACATAGAGATACAGAAGCACGACCTGATATAGTGAGTCCACCGATCGATCAACAACTCGGTGGGAGCTTCCAGACCCACCGTGAAGATCCAGTCATACCTCCGCTTCGTATTGGCATCAGAGAAGATGGTAGCCCATGCCACAATATGCTAAGTACATGCAAAGAATAATAGTAATAAACATTGGTTGCAGCACAGCAATACCTTAATTAACCCTTAAGTTATGTTATCCACGAAGCAACGGTGTCTTGATCTTGTTACGCGGATGGCCCTATATTTCAGTGAGTATCGAGACCCAACTGGCGTTGTCGGTATGTACTGAATTTCTATACAGGGAATAACATCAACCATTATCATAGTACGAGTGGCTCTAGAGATCGCATTCGATGACGTGGAGACTGCACTGATGTCAGTTCATGGTTAAGGGTCACCGAAGCTTTCCACTTGATCCTAAACCATTCACTATCTCTTGAAGTTTCGTCATAGGCCGAAATCAAAGTGTATCCAATTTCTTCCTACCCTGTACGTTAGTTGTATCAGCAAAAGGGTATCTGGTAACTTGGTATCTCAGATCTGAGTAGTATCTAACACCGAGAAAATAGTGAAAAAATGTGGGTGTATGTAACTCTATCGCAATCTGTGAGTGTGATAATCGATCGTACTACTAGAGTATCGATTAGAGTTATACCATGAATCACCTGTACTAGTCTTCATGTGAAGGGATTTTCAGGCTCGAGGCTAAGCTAGTGCTATGAGCACGACTAGCATATCTGAATATGATACGGTACCGTATATCATGCTGCGACTTTCTACTCGTACGATCTGGTCGAATGTCAGAACGCACGTTATAGATCAGCAGCCATGGATACTTAGAAGATCTCAAGCTAGGTTTCTCGAGACTGCGCCCCGCAACCTTGATCCAGATGTCCACTCGCGAACGAGCACTGCCAGTGGCGATTATAGGTGAAGTGTCTCATAACTCCAGATCTTTGCGTATGAAGCTGGAATGTGTCACTTTGACTGAAACTAAGGTCGGATGCCAAATAATTAAACAATCTGTGTCGTTGACATAGGGCCTGTTTAAACAGGGTGAATAAGGATGAAGTAAGAATTAAACAGTGATTAAACAATTTGAACGGTGATTGTCTACTAAACAAAAGTAACGAGCGTGAATTGAACTGAAGACATAACGAATCATTAGGTAAGAATACTTCCCAACAAACGTCCCAATATAACATCTACGCCATGGAACTGTATTAGGCATACTGTATGTACTAGAGTATAATCTGTCAATTTTTGTCCTTTGTGAAGGCCACTGCGCCGAAGGCGCTCTAGTTAGGGGTTAGGGTTAGAAACCACTGCGCCGAAGGCGCCCAGGTTAGGGGTTAGGTGGTAGGGGTTCGGGTTAGAGGGGGACGCCCCGCGGTTAGGGGTTAGGGTATAGGGTCAGGGGTCTGAGAATATGTTTTAGGGGGGGTGCGGGGGGGAACGCCCCGCGTTAGGGGTTAGGCATTAGGAATTAAAGGTGAAATGCAGTGGGATGATATGGGTATATAGGTTAGACAATTGCTCCAACTGATAACGGACTAATGGCTTAGTGGTCTGGATTATGTGTCGCTACCTCAGTATGTAATTGTTCACGAGGTCGGCGGTTCGATCCAGCATTGCGGCCGTTTTTCTTCAGCGCTTAGTCAGAATGTTTAAACAGACCTCCTGTCAACGACACAAATTGTTTAAATTTCTGGCATCCGGCGCCTGACTGAAAACAGCATTGGCGACTTTAAGACGGATCACATCAAATGTGGGTCCAATAGACTCACTCAGCTGACCAAAGCGCAGGATTTGTGTCCAGCACGAGGCGTACAGGCTGCGCCGTAAAGATAACACGGCCATAAAACACTGTCACTCCAAAATCAATTTCTTCCATTACCCATCATGTCCGCCACCTCTTCTTCTGTTCCCGCTACTCCTCCTACGATCGAACGTTGTCTAGGTGAACATTCTCATCCATCATCAAATTCATCCAAAACATACTCATTTTCTCTCAGTTGCCGAATGCTCGATCCCTATCGATCTGATTCTCGAATCTGCCGACGGCAAATGGTTTGGTGCCCACACCAAGAACATGGAAACATTCAACACCGCCTTTCCTCCAACTTCTTCCGTAACACACGATATCAACGACATCGTCAAACTATCTGAGACCAGCGACGTTCTAGCACTTCTTCTACAGTTTTCGCATTACCAAGAACACGGAGATCTATGCGACAAAGGGTTGGATCTTGTTCTAGGACTAGCAACAGCAGCGGACAAGTATGGGAACTTTTTCGCTGCTATGGTGGTTAGAGAAGCGATCAAGTGTGTCTTTTACGTCATTCGGAATCCTTTGGGACGTGTTGATAATTCAATTGTAGCTACTACGGAAGACAATCGAAATACAACGCTGTTCGCGTCATACCATACAAGGCTATACACTCTGATTTCAAACATATGGATGAGATAGTCCGTTCGACTATGGATCTTCCTCTTTCGACTGCTTTGCATTTCATGAAGCCGTACCCGGAGGTGTTTTATGCATATGTGAGTTGTCAATGTACTGCATACTAGTTGACCGTGTATTGAAATTTACCTTTCAGGCTCTGTATAGAGAAGGGAGAGGAAACGAATGGGGTAGTTGGCGCGATGGCGAAGGTGAATTTGGCTGGATCTCGTATGTGAAACGTGCCGCCAATCCACCAGTCGATCCAGATGTGTATGGGAATAGCTGAGTAGGTAGTTTATGTGCAGAGGCCAGACTCTAATGATATCTATGGACGTCAGCCACTCTAGAGGGAACACCCATTCATGGGATCACATTCTAGACCACATACGAAGCCTGCACAGTATTTCCCACCAACACAAAACAAAAGATTGACAATACCTTCCTAGTACTAATCACACCCGGATGCTTTTTCCCTGATAGTCTATCGCAATCCCAAAGTGATAATTGGAAGTGCTTTCTGCAGTTATGAACAACGTGCCATGAACCGCTTGTTCCACTCTTATACTGTAGAAGGTCTAGTCGGTTGTTGGACGTTCAGTGGGTTAACAATTGAATAACTTCGTATATTTAGATCAAGTACACGTTCCGGGGGAGTACAGAATCGTGAGCAACGTACGTCGGATTTGCACTGCCATTCGCTCTCCTAACGTGCCCCATGGCTGAGTTGGTTACAGCCTCCGACTGTTATGCAGCCAGGACAATATTAGCAATCGGAAGGTTGTGAGTTCGAGCCTCACTGGGGCAGCTAGCTCTGCTGTATTCTATTTTTTTCGCCCCCCCCCAGAAAGGGCCTTTCAAACGCTTCCTCATTCGTGGTGCAAGCCTTGAAATGGGATCTTCGTGGACTCGGAGTTGGATAATCTCACTCACGATCCTGAATGAAACCTGTGGAAGGTCACCGTCAAAAAAGAAATGCGATTGCGCGAGCTCTAGGTTTGGTATGACCCGAATGAACGTACTAAAATGCAACGAGAACTATCAATTTTTAGCGCAACCTCCGATGAGAGTAAAGCTCTTATCTGTAGAACGAGAAACTTACCTCACCTTACAATAAGGCAAAAAAAAGAATTACTGAATCGTCCGAAGCTTCCCCCTAGCCGATTTGAACGACTGACCTCTTCATCATACGATCTTCTTCTACAAAAGTCATACGAGTGAAGCGCTCTACCGCTGAGCTAAGGGGGAACATACCCCTCCTCGTCGTCGTTTACCCCCAGGGACCCTGGGGCGTGAACGCACACATGGGCGAACGAAAAAATTTCCCTTCTCGCCTCAAAGTGCCCGGCGTGGTTCGAACACGCGGCTTCGAGATTACGCCACAAGATCCACGAAATTGCAATCTCACACTCTACCACTGAGTTACGGGCACATGTCGACAAATGTTACAGGGAATGAATAGGTTCTTGTGGATAAGCAATTGAATTTCGACAAAAATGTGAGGGATCTACAGAACTAGCCCACCGCGAGGGTCGAACTCGCAGCCTTCAGATCAAATTAGGGAGGAACACAAATAAGAGTCTGACGCTCTATCCGATTGAGCTAGGCGGGCTCTTAGCAGGATACATTTCAGTGAGGTACTGATGGGCGTGAGACGACTCACCGAATCTTCTCCCAACGCCCTTCTATCCCCGGTTCCATGCTTGAGGGAAAGACGAGTTATACTCTATCATGTGAAGTGGGGGAATAATGACGTACATGCCCATACCCCCGTGTTGACGCTACCCTGAATCGAGGGAGTTGAAGACGGAAGTAAGGAGCAGCTTGGGGTGTGGGTGTGAATGTGGGTGTTGGGAAGGAAAAGCATTTCAGCTCGTCGGGTGTCATGGGAATAGAGAAAACGTACTGTCGATGACCATTCCCCAAGTCTAACTTCTGCTCCTCTGTTCGTCTCAAGCGTGCGTTCGTTGGGTGCTGACGCCTGGTTCCGGGAATGTGGGGGTGTAGATCTGGGTGTTGGGAAAAGAGAGGACTTCATTTCGTGGTTGACTCCGGCGGTAGGTTGTGTGGAGACGTAATTGGATCACCTCTTCTCCCAGTTAAACGGTCTTCCCTTGTTACATGTGTGCGCTCGTTGTATGATAAGGAATGGATCGAGGTCGGTCGTGGAAGGTAGCTGACATAATCAAGGAGGTCGCCGAGCGTTGACCAAGGAAGCGTACACGTGGACGCAAGAAGTAGAAGACATCCCACAGAGCTGGCAGGAAATGCAAAGGGAGGTTGGCTTGGGATGGTAGGCAACCGTGTTGATCTTGATGCATGTTCGATAGAGGCTAATAAAGCTGTAATGATGAGATCGAGGTAGTAAAAGAGTCAGATGAGACGTACCTGTTGAAATAGACCGTCACTGGGGGCAAGAAAGCATAAGTCTCGGGACTTTTTCGAAGACCTATGCTATACTTACTCGAGTTTTTGGACCTTATGTATGACTTATGCTTAGACCTTTCATAGGTTTTGCGTAAGTCTAGCATAAAGAACCCAGACTTATGCGAAATTGTCCCCAGTGCGTGTTTAGTTCATTCTTCCTCTGTTTCCTTCTGCTCATCTCCAGCTTACTCCGGCAGGGGATCAATGTCGCAAAAGCTTGTTGAAAGTATCGGTAACGGTACATCATATGAATCGCAGAGGGGTCCCGAGGGAGCAGTAGCTTTCAAGTTGCGGTAGGCGCAGATGAAGGCCGCAGAGTTGTTGGAGGTCGATATAGCAAACAATTTGTAGAATATAGCAAGTCGAAGGAGCGATTGATTGGATGCAGAAGAGGTTATTGAGTAGTCGGTTTGTGGCGTGTCGTGATATCTATGGGCCTGAGGAAAACTCCTTGGAGGAGATAAAAGATATGAGTTCCAGGCGGCAGAGGAAGATACACGCTAGACGTACATATCGTGAAAGGGTCTCTCCGACATTTCTCCCAACGGTAGTGAGCACTGATAAGATGAATTTGTTAGCTCGAGTCAGATTGGAAGGGCATATGAACGACTTAGGGATCCTGGCATAATGGCTGAGGAGAGAGTAGATGGAGGTGAACAATAAAAAAGAGCGCTCCGGAGCGCCAAGTCATTGCCCCACGTGATTGGAGCGATCATACCTATTCTGAAAGCCAACCATGGACATGCCCCATGGCTGAGTTGGTTACAGCGTCCGACTGTTATGAATGAAGCATCCGGTACATCTAACATCGGAAGGTCGTGAGTTCGAGCCTCACTGGGGCAGGTCGTTTGGACTCTTCTATGGACCTTTTTAGCGCTTACACATTCCGCCGCACGCAATCAATATCAATCAATCTCCAACCTCACTCTTTCACCACAGCCATCATCTTCCCGCTTCCGTCTGTCTTTGAACCGCAGGTAACTTGTGGATCTAGTTTTTAAAGAGCGGAGCGTCAATCTTTACTGCAGCGTCACGCCCGAATCATGAAACTCATCAATCATCTAAGCACCCATAAATTGAGTTGCAAGGCTGTGATACGGCGGTCATTCATTCAATAGTCGGCGATTGCCCTCAAGTATTTGAGTTACTTCAACTTGACACCACCGCCGACCGCATGTCCACCCGCCGGCATCACCGAGACGTTGCTCATCATTCCGCTGCTGTCATGATCATCATCAATCACAATCTACACGACACCTTGATCCTATCACCGTCCACAACTCTTGGCTCTCCCTCTCTCCACCATGAGTGCACCTCCAGAGCTACTCCCAGCTCTTCAACACGAACGAGATATCTCTGTGAGCATCACTATCTCATACACCATATCTATCATCACTCACAACGAACTCTTACACGGAAAAGTATTGGGCAGGTTAGTCTCCTTTGTACTTCCCCTTCTACATTACCCCATCTCCGACTCAATCATATCACCTCAACAGTCTCAGTAATCTTTCTCCTTCCATACGACTTCATACTCCGGCTCTCCCTCGAGATCCAATACATCTGGAAATCACCATGGACGTTATTCAAAGCCCTGTATCTCATACAGCGATTCCTGCCGTTTGTGGATTGTTTCTTTCTGTTAATCATCTGTGAGCCGGTGCCTTTTCTGATAGACTTTTGACGACTGAAGCTTCGTTGACAGTTCGTTTTGCGCCGGGGTTAAGTGAAAAGCAATGTTATTATGGACATCGGGCGTTGATGTGTACGTTCTCTCATATGTTATCATTTCACTCCATCTGATTGTATTCACCAGTCACTTCGACAGTAGGCGTTGCATTATCCAACAGTACGCCTACTTCTCCTTTCCAATCAAACCAATGAAAGTCACTCACCACCACTCCCCTAGTCGTCTTAAGCGTCCGTATATGGTGCGTATGGATGAACAGCCCACGCATCCGCGCAATCGTCGTCATTCTTGTCGTAGGAACTTTGATTCCGCATTTCGTCACCCTAGATCGGATATCCAAGTCTTTGAGATGTTGGTCCTTCCTATCCAAACGCATCGCTCATTAACTCCTCTCATAGTCGCCATCCTGCCCATACCGAACTTTAGGGGATGTTTCATCATCGACGGAGATGAAGTGTATACGATTTGGATTACTTGGTTGATTTATGATACGAGTGAGTTCTTGACTCGTCACTACAATCTGTTACTTACTAGCTCGGCTAGGTGCGACGGTTCTCATGCTCATACCAGCATTTTGGGCTTGTAAGTTCTCCGTACATTCACTCGAAGTGGCTTCTTAGCTGACATTGGTATATACCAGATCGAGAAGGAGGTCTACCGAACCTTTTGAGAGTTATCTATCAAGACGGAGCGTTATATTTCATGCTTATGCTACGTGAGTTTACGCCACGTTCCCCTTTTCAACGTAAACCTCTAAATCGTCATTGTAGTTCTCTCCACGGCGAACATCGTGATTATCAAAACACTACCCGTACGTCTGCAAGTACCCCATTTCGAACGCTCTGAGCTAATACTCTGACCAATAGTCGGAGTTTACACTCGTATTAGGACCGTAAGTCATTCATGATTCACTACTTGCCCTTTATTCGACTAATACCCTGCATCTTAGGCTCCAGCGCGTACTACATTGTATACTAACCAGCCACCTCATAATCCACATCCGCCAAGTCGCATCCAAAAACATCGTTATCGAGAGTACACCTTTGTAAATTGTAATCAATTCCCCTCTACTTTACCACTGCTTCTGCTTGCCATTACTATAAAACATACCTATCATAATCATAATCATAATCCATTAACACCTCAACCACAAACGAAACGAAACAAATCACTCACAAGTCTTAGCATCATCCCCCGGCCCAACCTCTACCCACTCCAAAAACAACCCCGCCGCATTCTCCGGCGTTCTACCTTCCCTAAACCCATTCAACTTCGTCGTAACATACCCCGGGCAAATACAATTAACCCTTATCCTCTCTTCCCTTAAATCCGTCGCCAGGGAGATGGTATACGAATTCAGTGCGGCTTTCGACGCTCCGTACGCATTAGCGTACGAATACAGGGGATTGGCTTCGGGGCCTGCACGGTCACTGTTCGAACCTAACCCGGAGGTGATGTTGACGATGGAGCCGTAGCCTGGTGGGGAGAGACGGATGAGAGGGATGAGAGTGGTTGTTAGGTGAACGATAGCGAAGAAGTTTGTGTCGAATGTTTTGCGGTATTCTTCGTGGTTGGATTCGGATGGTTTTATTAGTGGGCATGCAACGGCTAGAGGTGTCGTTAGGCAGTGATTGAAGTTGGTAAAGAGGTGAAGACGCACCAGCGTTGTTTACGAGAACGTCTAGACGACCTTGTTCTTTCTCGATTCTTTCTTTGGCAGCGAGTATCAACTCCCCATCTAACACATCGAGGTGTAAAAAGTGGACGTCCAGACCATGCTCGTCTTTGAGTTGTTTCCTAGATTCCTTACTTTAGCCTTTCCCCCAACAAAGAAAAGAAGGAAAGACGTACGCAGCTTGAACACCCAATTCCTTATTCCTCGCCCCAAGATACACAATATGCCCACGTTCAGCTAAGAGCTTGACTAGAGCGTAGCCGATACCTTGATTCGCACCGGTGACGAGGACGACTTTCTGGTATGGTTGTTCTGTTTCCGCCATGGGTCGAAGGTGCGGAAAGTGGGCGTCACGGTTAGTCGACAGTCATTTATACATACAAGGACATTAATATAAACAGCGCGCTGCGCTGGGAGCTCGCCGATCATGATTGTGATGGTGATGGTGATGTGCTGTATAATTGATTGGTTCTTCCATCAGTGATGCCAGTGGGGCAGCTCTATCACCACCGCGCTACGCCCGCTCTATAATTTGGCGCGTTATGGGATAAGGTAATAGAGAGAAGAACTGAGTGGTAACCGACCTTAGCTCAGTTAGAAGAGCACGAGACTGCAGTTCTGGTCGAACCAGGGAGGTCGGATTACAGTATTGGTGAAAGTTCGATTTTTTAAAATCTTATTCGAGGAGCTCTTTAGGTATATCAGGTTCTGAAACTCACGCCTAATTGTTCCCCCAAATGTTCTTCGTGCTCAAGAGAATTCGGATATGATATAGGAACCCACGATTATTGGCGGGCTTGTGTCAGGATTGTGGTAAGAATCCATCGACTTCTCTAAACTTGGAGAATGTTCCCATTGGTAAAATGATATGAAGATTCCACAACAAATGCTGTTCCGCAACTGATGTTCTCATTACATCAGAGCTACTTGCTGCGCAGCTTGAGTATGTGGTCGTGACTCAATTGATCGCTGCATTGGAAACTTTGAAAACGGAGTCTTACCCAAGCGTAAGTCCCATAATATGTAAGACCTGATCTACTCGAAGCTTGAGAGTAGTTTGTGCGATCTCATCCATGTTGGGTCTTAAGTTTATGAACATCAACCGTGAAGAGTAACGTCCAAGGGTGAGTGGTACAGTATGGTGTCGGCGACACTGGAAACTTCAAGGTTAGTCAAACCGAAAGAAACCTCGGCATCGAAATTCTTCACCTGGATGTATGTCCGTTCAGGTTAGCCCGAACTCCATTACAGAGAGGAAAGATAGGTCGAGCAATCCCACAAGCCTGCCTCAAGTCTGGAGTAATGCAGAGCATGTTACGTGTATGTAGCTTGCTCTTACTACTTAGGGACATCTGAACAGACTCACAACTCGGGACGTACCAAAAAGAAATCGCACTCTCTGTGAATTTCCTTCCAGGGAGTCGAACCCCAGACTTTCGCTCATCATCTAGTGGAACCGAATGAGAGGCGACAGCATTGACCACTACATCATAAAGGATGTAATTCCCAGTAAGAGAAGAGAAGAAAGGAAGACGAACATGTGTTTACCTCGTTTCCTGCGTACCAGCATGCTTTTTCAGTTCATTCATAGGCTGAATTTCGTTTCTATATACTCTTTCAGTCCGGATAAATGAAGAATCATGGCCCTTTTGACATTCAGGATGTAGATCAGGGTAAAACATAAAACATATGTCACAACGGTGCAACTTCCGTTCCAGGGAACTGAACCCTTGGCTTTAGCGGTCGATAACTGCGCATGATGGCCACCATAACGGACACGTACAGCGGTCAGTCGGCGGGTATGAGTAAGGATTGTATGAGAGGAAACCTGAAGGAAGATTCCTTTGTTAACCTACGTGTCGTGCTCGTTTAGGTTAGCTAAAAGAGAGGAAATAGCTCGAATAGAATCAATATAACAAACGAAAAAAAAAAAAAAAAACAAACCGGATCCACTTTCATTTCGTTACAGGGAATCAAACCTTGTGCTTTCGTGCTTATTTGCAGCTCGCTTCATGAGCGGCGACAATGTAAGCCATTACACCATAACGGATGAGAGCATGTTCTAGCATCCATGTTGGCCTTACAGAGATGTAAATTGACTACTTTACCTCCAAGGAGAATGACACGCGTGAGAGAAGAAAAGAAGACGCGTGTTTTTACGACATCAGTGGGACCACTCGGACACTCTGGGTCGCCTCGTTGCTTTCTTTCGCCTCTCATTTTCCCCACAATCGCACTTCTCCTTCAACGTATGTCAGCCCTCCTCCACTCATTTCATAGCTTGCACTAACCCACATTTTGTTCGCCCGAATTTCCTTTCCAACAACCAGCCCTCATTGTGGTTGTGGATTGGGATGATATTGGCGGAAGGTACGTCCCTATGATTGCTCTCGTCACGATCTGGCGTTTCATCTGTCTTCCTAGAAATCTCTACCTTCCTCTCGATCTCGATGTTAGCATACTCTCACAACCGTGATCCAAGACCAAGAACTCGGATTGTGCATTACATCGTACAGGGTTTTGTGGGGTTTTCTTGCGCATTCTTTTCCATCTGATTCATCTCCCCTGCAGGAAGGGAGCCCCAACCAAACCACGAACGATCATTCACGGCACACTGAAGTATAAACCTTCAGAATCTCGGCACCATCTCAGCGAACCGGTATATACGGTTCGCGGGTTTTCTGCGCAGTCTCCTCCATAACATTCATCTCCCTTCTGGAAACGAGCCCAAAGCACAGGCAAAATCTGGACGAGCAGGATGAGGGAAAGGTTGAGGTGTGTTTACTCTATCACTACGGTTGCGCAGGGAGCTGATTGATATCCTACCTGGTCACAACGTTCACTAGCCCGGTGGATCCAGAATACAATCAACGTGCGTTCTTCCCTGGCTGTGTTACTCCATACATTCACCCACATCGGCTCCTTGATAGGCTCAACTACTCTTTTGTGCCTCATTATATCCTCCGAAGCTTTCAACGCGTATCTTGAGTAACATCACGGATTACCTGGTCACTTTCATACACCATCTACATGAGGCACGTTGCTTTCCTGCTGAAGGTGGTATCCGCGGACTCTCACTAGCATTCAGTATTCACAATTGAGGTGTGCAGTTTCGATTTCTACATTTACGCCAGGAGCTGATCATTATCCCCTAGATCCATAGTCTATCTCAAGAACACCCAACGCCTCGAGTCTCGGATGGAACTATGAGAATACAGGGAAGGTTTGAGGTATCTTGCCTGTTGCTGCTCTCTTTCTTCGTACGCTGATGCTTGACCTCTGTCTTCCAGCTTTGAGTAGAAGGTGTAGTGGGTAGACTCTCGTAGCGTGATCTTGCCCACACAATGACCCAGACCTACAGCCTTTTTTTTCATAGGATCAATCGGCTATAACCTCGCGATTTCGCTTACGGCCCATTTTGTCACATTTCTATGGATAATGACTCGTCCGCATTGTTCGGGGTAGAGGGCTTAGAGTTCGTGCTTATTTACCTTCTTCAGTTTGATACCATACTAATCCCTCCTAAAGATTGATTAAGCTTCCTGTCAAAGCCTTGACACCCCCGCTTTCGCAACAAGATGAGGGTGTACGTTCGTTCAACCTCTCGTGCGTTTATGCTAACGTTCTCTCCGGCCTAAAAAATTGTTCTGAGTACGTCTTCCCTAGTCCTTCAAAGGGTCGTGACCGAATAGCATACATATCGTGGACGATCTGAATTGTGGTATTTTAGTAAACTTTTCAAACCTTGAGGCCTTTATAACTCCCGTGTAGATTAGACATTGGAAGTAACGATACTGATCTTGCTCTCCGTTTTGTCCCTCGCAACCTGGAAAGAAGCCCGTAACAGAAAATCATACCCAATGCCAGTATTGAACCACAAAATAGCCACTCCAGAACGATTATTACAGTACCCGGCGTGGTCTGAACACGCAACTTCAAAATCATACCTGATCTTGAGGAGCATTGCAATCTCACACTGTGTTACGGGCACTTTCGGGCAAGACGAATGGGTTGGTCACTATGTGGCTTGAGATTCGCGTGAGGAAGTTAAGTCTTCAACATCCGGTATATCTAATTGCGGTTATCGGAGATAAGTGAACCATCGGACTAAGCTTTTCACTGATAAAGAGGCGTGCAGCGATTTAGTTGACAGAGAAAGGAACCGACAAAACACTTCATTTTTCTTGCGCAGTTCCCCCAGCCGAGTCGAACGACTGACCTCTTGTATTACAGGAGCGATACGAGCAAGCGCTGTACCCCTGAGGCTAAGGAGGAGGATAGCATCTATAACATTAAGGCAACTATACAGTACCACGCCGATGAGGAAAAACAAGACGCGCACTTCGGTCTTCGGTGATCTGGTGGGTGAGGCTCGAAAGGAAAATTCGACGTGACGTGACGGTGTGTTGCCATAGAAGCTTCCTACCTCGCTGCTGGATGGTTCGATCCAGACTCGAACTGGAGGCCCTTTGAGTTGTTGCCTAATTCCATTCGTTAGCACCCTTTCCCCTTGCCGACGAAAACACGTATGCAGCTTGACCACCCCAACTTCTTATTCCTCCGCTCCATGATATACAATATGCCCACTAAGAGCCAAACCAACGCCAAGCCGATACCTTGGTTTGCGCCGGTGATGAGGACGACTTTTTTGTAGGGTTGCTTTGTTTCTGTCATGGTCAGTGGAACCGGTCAAAGGGTTAATGACGAAGAGGGCGTTAGGCATATAGAATATGCTGCGCTGGGAGCTCGCCGATTGTGATTTTGATTGTAGTGATAATCGATTGGTTCTTTTCCATCAGTGATGACATGTGGGGCGTTGGGGAGTTCTATCACCACCGGAGCGCTACGTCCGCTTTATCAAGGGTCCATCCCCCGTTGCCGACTGTAGCTCAGTTGGTAGAGCACAAGACTGTTATAGCTCCAGAGTTCTGTTCTTGTCTTGGGTCGCCTGTTCGAATCAGGCAGGTCGGATTACGCACGTAGCGATGAAGATATTTTATTGCGTACACAGCGCTTAAGGGGGTAAGCATCTACATAATATAGTGAATCATATTCTTTCGGTACGTTATGGGTAAGCAAGCGTGTTTTTCATAACATGAGCTGAAGAAACCGAGAGTCTCATTTAGACGTATGTACCCGCATCCTTCACTATCCTCCGAGTCCCACTATGGAAAACATGAGGTGTTAGCCTAGGTAAATCTTTTCACAGTGAGACCCATTCGCCAAGTATACCACTTTGAATCAGTGGATCGTGATGCCCAACGAGATTCGTGCGGAGGAAAATCAATGGCATTGGATGACACTGGATGACATCTGATGCCTTCCGATAAGCCTGCAATCTAGCTGATGACAACCTATGACTCACGCAACGCGTGGATTGAAAATCTTCAGTTCATCTTCGAGGTTTTAACTCACAAAGCTTTGCTGAACATCCACGAAGTCAACCAAGGTTATATCCACTGGAATTGTCTAGAAGGGATGCCGCCGTGGTGAGTGTTGTTGGCAAAAGGTACAGGGTCCGTGCACTATTTGCACGTGTTTCCATTGTCCCTGCGAATCCCTCACTTATACCTTGCCGTCGCTCTCCGACTTCTTTCCTCCCGACCCCCACCATCTCCCGCCATGTCACCGTCGTCCTTCGCTGAAGTTTAATCCAGTTCGCGTCTTGCACCAGACAGAATGCCTTAATACTTGTGGGAAAGGTTATTGAAGAGGTCTTGAGGTACGTGGCCTGCACTTAACGCGTCTTTCTTCCAATAATTCACTTCGTTTAGCAGGTTTTTCCAGACACGAAATGATCAGGAAGCAACAGAAAGCGATACATAGGCTCCCCGACGCTGCTAGAGACCAGATGTGCCGTCTACATTTACCTATCTCGATACAACCCTTTGACTTTACCTCCTAACAGGCAGACACGCGTCGTCGGGTGATGGGCAGACGATGGATATGTGCCTGGGTTTTTGAGGCGGATGCACGTAAGTGGCTATACTATGTGGTGCGGGTGTTGTCTAACATAGAGTTTACAGTCTGTCTTCGTATCTTGACTTGAAGGGATGGACTCGGGATGTTGATATAGTCTGTAGCAACCTTGTACTGTAAAGTATGTAGCGGAATAGATGATATTCGATGCCTATTAATGAAAAACGGATGAATACAGGATGAAAGGGCCTCCTAAGGAGAGCCCCGAATTCTCATCGGATGTTATTGGATGTCATCGTATACCGTCAGAAAGGGCGGCAAGTTAACGATGCTATACAATGACATCCAATGACATCCGATGCCTATAGTTCATCGGTTGTCATAGGCTGTCATCTGATATTGTCGGCGTAAATCTCGTTGGGCGTGATGCCTGATTGCTTCTTTCTGCGTGTTGGGCAGCACTATCACCACCGCCGTGTTTCGCAGGCTGCAGCATCATAAACAAAAACCCTCGCATCACCGACCTTAGCTCAGTTGGAAGAGCACAAGACTGTAATGGGTGCATGATCTGGAGTTTCCAATCTTGGGGTCGCCTGTTCGAACCAGGCAGGTCGGAATTGCGGATTGTTAATCAATATTTTTTTTATCAGGGGAAGACCCAGATTTGTTCCCAGCGTTGTAGGAAAGTAAACCTCCCCCAAACTTGCTTTTCAACGAGAGATAAAACAAAACGCACGGGCTGCAGGCATCGAAAGCAAGCTTTTAGACGTATGCCCATCCCCCCTACCACATACGCAGCACGGAAAAAGAAGAAGCATCACCGGTCTTAACTCAGTTGGAGGAGCAACAAGACTATAATCGGTAACATCAAATCTTCCATATTGGAGTTGCCTGTTCGAAGGTCAAGTGCCCATTTCTTTTCTATGGAAGCCCGGTGTGTAGCTTCACTTTCCCTCGTACGTGATATCGAAAGGGTTGAAGAAGTGAAGGAAAGAGCACCAAGTTACGAATAGGTATTTGTAAGGCTTATTCGCATACCTCAAGTCAGTCCGCGCACCTATTAAATGAATGACGATAACCAAAGCCCACAAAGGCAAATATCGCCGACCTTAGCTCAGTTGGAAGAGCACAAGACTGTAATAGGCTGCCAATGTCCTCATCTTGGGGTCGCCTGTTCGAACCAGGCAGGTCGGATATCGGTGCTCATTTCCCTTGTTTTTCTTTTTCTTCATCGAGTTATTAATCTAAAGTACAGACAAGGGATGGGGGTACAGTAAGGTTCTACGCCAATCTTCCTTCAGCTGAACGTTTACCCCGTGATAGGAATTCCTTTTCCTAGGTGCCGAGTAGGAGCTGACGAAGTAAAGATATTGGTACCGTGTGTTTAGCAAGGCTTTGATACGACGTACCCCACTCATTACTCCACATTTGTCGGGTGGGAAGCAACCTATCCCGTGAGTTCGCAAGCGTAACGGATCCTTAAGACCCAAACGAAAAGAATATGGCTCTTGATATGCGGGAGGCAGGAAAGAACAGGCGAGGGTAGTTACGTGCCCCCACACCTAAGCCGTACAGGGGGGTGTTTTGCATGGTAGCGGGCCGGGATTGGGTGCGCTCATGGGTATAAAACACCCCAAACGCGTGGATCAGCGGCGGGCGTGGGTGTGGGTGAAGGAGAAGGGGGCTGATCTTCGAGGCAAGATGAAGGGAATCTGGTGCATTTGTAAGCCCGGGGTATTCGAAGGAAGAATAGCTAGCATACCTGAGAAACGATCTTCTATCCCCATTCTCCCTGTACCTCTAAACTAAACGGAACCGTAGAGGCGATGACTTCGGTGCTTGCAGGTGAGGCGATGAGAAGATGTCAGCTTTGTTGTTGGAGGACGTACTGGTAGGGAGCGGGAAGGTCAGTGCGTAGCATTCAAAGGCATGTCGAATGACGTACCCCGACTGGCGTAGCTTCAAACGCGCCGGAAAGAAGGAAGGTGTGGTGTAGAGTGCGACCGGAGGATGGCTGAAGCTATGCCTCTTCTTATCGTGGCCCTTAGTGGATATGGAGGCCTCGGTGGATGTGAGCGCGTGATAGTTGGGGGGGCCTCCGGAGCTTCATGCAGGCGACAACACATGTGGGTGTCTTGGGTACTGTAGATGGAATGAAAAGCTTGATTATGAGGTAAGCGGGAGAACATGCTAAACGGGAGCGAAAAGGTAAGTTCACAATTCTAGCGTTTGGAGGTGTGTTGAATGACGTACATATAGTCGAGTAGGGCTAGAGATTCTCCGCGTAGCGATCTGGGACAGTCTGAGCTGAGGTCTTTCGTCGGGTCTTTTCCTAGAACGATAGTGTGCCTTGTCTTCGGTTGTAGTGGCGAAGCAATAGAGGTATAGAGCGATAGCAAGAGGACTTGGAAGAGTGTGTTCGTATTCAGGGAGAAAACTGGATCGAAGAGACTTGATGAACTCAGCGTAGACCTCGAGAAGACTTGACTACGTACCTGCATCCAAAGCGCTCCGTTATCCTCTGCGATCCACATCCGAGCTTGCGTTCAACGAAGGTTCTTGTGACCACCAGACCCAGCAGGAAATGCAGGAGAAAGTTCATCAAAAATCGTTACTGTAAGAAAACCACCGTTAGCGATAGCAAGACTTTTGACGACTCTACACCATCCCAACAATTTCCCCCAAATCCTGCTCTAATCATCTTCTAAATCCATCAGCCACGACAAGAAGAGCAATTTGTAGGTGTCCCGTTCGATGAAAAGATGGGATAGTGAGCCCAGATGGGTATGGATGGGTATGGATGGGAAGGAAGCGAGGAAAAGAAAAGCCGCGTGTTGCCAGCACGTCGTACGTAATTGGTCACCTGTCTGTATTCCACTCAAAGAAGAACGTTGTCGCTTGCCCCATGGCTGAGTTGGTTACAGCGTCCGACTGTTATTACGTGATTGGGAGGTTAACACATCGGAAGGTCGTGAGTTCGAGCCTCACTGGGGCAGCGTACGAGGATACTATGTCATTTTTTGTAACTGAAGACTTGGAACCGGGCCCTATGAGTACTATATGAGTACTGGTCACTGGAATACACCATGCACGAGACCAAGACTAGGTACGTGGACTACTTGCCAAAACGGCTGTAAAGTCTCGTACTTCCTAACGCCACCCGTTGTGATGAAACAGGAGTCCTGGACAGTGTATCCTGTTCCCGACAATGTCAAGTATACCGCGTTAGTCATCCCATGCTCAGAAGAAATTCAAATACGGGTAAAGGAGTAAAAGTTCAACGTTCAACTCTAACTGCCGAGTTCCGTTACAGGGCATCGACCCCTGGGCTATCGCGACTTCTTTCTCCGCGTTCATGAGAGCGTAAGGTTAGGCACTACACCATAATGGAACACCTTTAGCTAAACAAGCTCGTCCCTCTCATATGGTTTCATGTTTGTCATGCGTCGAAATTTGATCGTTTCCCTCGAAGAGTACGTAGCCTCCTTTGAAGATGCAATGAAGGACTGCGTCTATATTCGCGGCGTACTAATACTTGAGATCATATCAGACCGGTGCCTACTCCGATGCTCCCGTTGAACGTTTCATCTGGGTTCATAAAAGCCAACATGCTTAGACTCGGTCCCAGTAAGTAAACGAGTGAAAATAATAGCGCAACCTTCAGCCGCATTTCCGTTGCAGGGAATCGAGCCCTGGGCTATCGCGAGCTCGACTCGGGAACCTAAATGAGAGGCTATAATGTTAGCCAATACACCATAACGGACTATGTTCGTTATTGCAGCACCTTGCCCAGATCTCACGATTCCCTGTCATTGCACATCGAGCACACACTTCGAGGTAGAAGCAAGAAATGGTATCGTATGGGAGACGTCGAAGTGTGATGCACCTCACTCTCGACATGTAGCACGCTTAGTCGATGCTTATTCCACTATGTCTTTGTGGATTCGAGGGATATCTATTAGTGCTTGACACAGGCAAAAAATTTAGATAGCGATGCTCCCAATATTTCGTTACAAGGAATCGAACCCTGAGCCTACCGCGACGATTTTATTACGAAGGCTGACCTTGCGATAATGTCAGCCACGACACCATAACGGATTAATGACTGTCTGTGGATCATTCCCCTTGTAAATGTTTCTTGGTTCACGCTAGAAAATTGAATTAATTGTTGTCTTTCGGAGTCACACAGCAGTTGGTGTATATCTTTTCCAACATGCTATCGTAAGTAATATATTCCCTCTGAAGACTCGGATGGTATCTACGTCAGGCGTTTATCATCGATTGTTTCCCTCGAAGAGTACTACCACATGTTTTTCCCTGGAACGTGCACTGAATAACTTCGTTGATATTCGTAAAAACCCATCTTTGACGATTCAGGTGCTAGTACCTCTTACGCGGTGCATAGAACCCGTATCTCACTCCAACAGTCCATCTAGGTTCCAAAGGGCTAACATGCTTACAACCGATCCCAGTAAGTAAATGAACGAAAATGATTAGATTTTGATCCCCAAATTTCCGTGACAGGGAATTGAACCCTGAGATATTGCACACAGGTGATTTAGTTAGCCATTACACCATAACGGAATCGTGAAGATTCTATGATGGTGTAGATGCGATTAGCTTACAACGCGCTCCGAATATAGAGATCATTGTGTTCCCGCTCCATCCGGGTTCGAAGGAGCCATACTCACTCCCGGTCTCAATAGGTAAATGAACGAAAATAACTGAATGTCGACCCTCATATTTCCGTTACAGGGAATTGAACCCTGAGCTATCGTCGAGCTGATGAACTACGTATGAGAGGCAATAATGTGAGCCATTACACTTCAACGTAATTGTGAAGATCCCATGGTGTTGTGAATGCGGGGCCCTGTCGCTGTCTCTTGCCTCAAGCTAGAGTCAACAATTGCACTTCCAAGTCGAACGTTACCGTTTCCAACATCCTATCCACCTCGAAGTGAGTATGTCATTCTTGTTATCAACTAACTGGATGGCATGCGTTATGCGTCTAAAAGGAATTGATTCCTATGAAAGCGCAATGAAAGACCGCGACACTGCTGGCATAAAGCCTATTTCACTGGGTGCATGCACCAATACAACGCGACGAAATATCGATGACATATAGGTATTTTATTGACCAGCTTATTGAACACCACTGTGCTGATCAATAAAAAACCTATATACCATCAATATATCGTCATGGGTTAGTGGTCCATGCACCCAGTGTTTGCAACGATTCGTACTAGTAGTCTCTTACACGTTTTGGAGGTGGGACCCATATCTCACTCATACTTGAGATACCATCAAATCGGTGCCCGCTCCGATCTTCCCGCTCCATCCACCTTCAAAAGAGCCGAGATGCGTACCCCGCATGGTAGGGAAATCCAAGGAAGTGAACGAAAAACATTCACACACTCATTGATTTCCGTTACGGGGAATCGAACCCCGAGCGATATGTAGAGGTTCTGAATGCTCATGAGAGGCGATAAGCTTAGCCACTATATCAAAACGGAGTACTGCACAAAGAGCTGCATGTGTCTTGTAGTGTTCTACGTTCTTGGTATGAAATGTTGATATCACACCAATCATGCCATATTCCAGTGTGTACTATTCCAGTGTGTACTATTCCTATGCAACGCGCTCCAAATCGCGGCCAGGTCAGGACCACCAATCAGGTGAAATCACGGTGATTTCTCCTGCGCGGTGCCTATTGAGGTAGTGTCAGCACTCAAGTGTTGCCGTGGCCACCACACATGAGTATGCGCAAGCACATTGCGTGAGATCCATATCTTTATTCATCGGACGGGGTTATTGGTCTGATTCTCGTGGTTGAACGTTGAACGTTCAGCGTAATGTGAGTTTCCAAATACACAATTTGTCTGCTGAACTGACTACACATTCATACAGTATTGTATATCTCCTCCCATCGAGGTAGTCCGTTCAAAGCCTGTCTTATTTTTCCGATCGAAAGCCCGAAATTAACAAACCTAAATTTATTCTGGCTTCGACAATAGTCCATCGCAAATTCAAAAGCCGGCATCGAAGGTGAGAATGCGAGCAACGACTTGAGAGTTGCGATTGATTCTCTTTCGATTTTGGTCGAAGGCTCCATGTCTTCCAAAGTCGTTTTGAAAGATCGCAGTTGGTCTTCCCACTGCGTTTTGTAAAGCATCTGCAATAGAGCATCAAAGATTAGTTCAGAGCCAGACAAAGTCATGGTGAGACTTACATATGTGCAAATAGCCCGAGGGGTGCTATATTTCAACTCATTGACAACCTGCCGTGTAGAAAATTCCATCGTCGAACGGACTATCATATCGATATCTCGCATGTCCGAGTGAAGAATTTTGTACGGAATTGATTGAAGAGCAGCTTCCGGGGTTCGTTGAGCAAGAGTACTGTTCCAGGCAATTGAATCAGCAACCAACGCCACACCCTGACGATTCGGAGTTATAGGAATCTCACTGAATAGCCTCTTTACACGCCAATCCAGCGAACGAATTTCCATACTTATCTGCGGTCCTCTCAAATGTCAACACGTCATGGATCCTTAGTGTTGAGAGGTCCGGGAACTCTCTATTGTGGCTGAATCGGAGCAAGAGCTCAAGAAGGTCTCCATCCTCTGAGAGATCGATGACATCCTCTGGGTCATGGGATACGATATTTGCTGAGGGAAAGGCGGTATTGAACACTTCTAGGTTCTTTGTATGAGATCCCAAACGCTTTCCATCCGAAGATCGGAGGATAATGTCGATTGAAAGGGTACATTCGTCGACTGTCAATGGGAGGTTGTAAGTAGTGAGTGGTACTGATGATGATGAAGCCTCACCTGGGCAAGGAGTGGCCATGAGTCTCGATGATGGGTGTTAGAAGGCAAGAAAGACCTCGTGGGAGGTTGAATGAAGCCTCATGTTCATTACGATCACATTTAGACGCTGAAGGCGTCTAACTTGAGTTTGATCCTTGATTGGCCTTCTGTGCTTATTTATTATCTTTGTATCCCACTGCGTGGAGAAGAGCCTTTGTGATAACACAACGAATTGTCCTGTGGTACGTTCAACCGCACAAGAGCCCGGAAAAGTCACACCGGTACATTTGCCAGTCATCTTTTCAAGTTGCTGCCATCGATGTATATCCTCTGGTTGTCTCGACAAGAGCAGAATGATCCTGATGCGATACTATGAATATAGGTGAAGTTGTGGGAGTCGGTCTTATGTAGCGCTACCACACACAAACGGATATGGTACTGTTTTCAGGGTTAGGTACTCCGGCGCCGACTTGAGTTCGGAGTGCTCATACTCAACAGGTAACTCACAAAATAACCTGTGCACGCCGATCCTGTTGATACAACTCTGTAGCTGTTAGGATCATCAACTCGCCACTCATTCCTATTTGCGTTAGGATGGTGGCAAGAATCAATGTTTCGAAAAGAAATTGGCTTTGATGAGCCGACGTGAGAATTCCTAGGTTGGCATAACGATACTTGGGTCCGGACAAGGCAAAAAGATATATTAATGGTGGTCTAATGCCGTATAGAAGCACTCACCATCCCCGTGCCTTGCGTCATGAGCGGTATATGTGCTCTACACCACGCAGAGTGAGACAGGCGGAGTGAGAGGGACAGAGGCGAGGCGGGCCATGTTGAACACATGACCGTGTATCAGTATGCGTGCTATGCACGACACTCGCGTCTGTGGTCAATCCTAGATGACAAGAGAGAGTTTACCATACTATCTCATGGAACGGGCAGAAGCACTTATACCTAACCAATAGTATGCTGTATTTATAAGGACTATTCAGTATAATCGTCAGACTAGCTTCTGTACTTACAAACGTATGTATTACTGCTCACTAAGAGCATTCAGTAGTCTTACCAAGACTTCACATACTTACTCATACGCATTCTCACTTATGTAGTGTAGATTATCTAGTATAGAGTAAGTAACAGTATATAAGGCTTACCTGTAATTGTTTATAGCCTTAGTTTAATCTCATACGATTAACTACCTCGCCTAACAAGCATCTATCAAGTTCTACGCAAGTATAACTCTCAAAGCCCCAACAATGTGAGTTGAGACACATATTAACCACTGCGCACCGTCCCGGTTCTCGCTGCTCTCTCAATAGGTTATGGGCCCCGATGACAAGTTGGTCACCGTCAACACTTTGAAACTATTCTGGTGTAGATCGGGTCTTCTATGTCAAGCGGACTCATATCCGAGTTTACTTGCTAGAAGTTTCATGTGTAGCCGACGCCTTAACTGGCAAGAGGCCAAGACCACATGACAAGTACCGATGTGCTTCCATGGGTTAAGGGTTTCACTTTTTATTCTTTTGTTCAACCCCTGTAATGTCTGAAAAATAAAGTTACCTTACTTACAGACTTCCACTTCCTTTCTCGGATTAGTATCGCCCTTATATTGGCTTTACTTTCCGATAGAAGTAACGAACTGTTGGGCCTATTTCCTTAACTGGAACATGGTTTTAGTCCATCAGGCACTCGTGGATTCTATTGAATTCCACAGAACCTGAGGTTGGCATTATGCCCACAACTGCGTTACTAGTTGTAGAATTACACATAAAGTATACCCAAGTTAGCGCCATCATGCTATAGGGTTACTTTATTAGAATACATATGCTCCAAATTTGTAGTTAGCATATATAGAAACTCTCCAGCCACACTAAGTCCTTTAAACGCTATCCCGGGAAGACAGAAAGACTTTTAGCGCTCGCTTTGTCTTGTGACATGGGGTAAGCACTTCG